ATGAGACAGTCCATTCTGGAGAAGACAGGCTAAGTGTGATGAATGTGGGAATAAAGAGTATACACCAACTTTATTTCGTACCAGGGACACTATACCAGAAAAAAATCTTAGGAATGCTATTGATGATTATGAAAAAGGTTTTAATCAGTGCTCAACTCTTGTGCTACATTAAAAAAACCACACACACACACTGGACAGAAAACATTAAGTTCTACAAAGAAAGTTCAACTGAGAGTTCAGACATTACTAAACTTAAGAAAAATTCTGAAGAGGAGTCCTGTGACACTGGGAAAACTTTCAATATGAATAAAAGTATTAACCGAATGTCAGCAACAATGGAAAGAAATTTCTGTCTGCTATAAGGGAAAACAAGCCTCTGGTCTTTTATTCAAATATAATCCACAAGGGGAGAGTTTTATCATTTTAAGAAATCAAAAATAATATTGCAGAACCTTATCAGGTATTGTAAAGATGTGATGGAGTGCAATCAGCTCAGAAGAAAATGTGTTAAGTGTTATTATCTCAGACCTTTAGTGAGCCCTAATTATCTATTGCATATCAGAGAAGTTACTTTAGAGATTGTAGGGAAAGCTTAAATCCCATATCTTAATTGGCATTCACTCATAATCGGCATGCCACTGACCTCCCGACAATGGAAGTGTCCTACCTGATGCTCACATTAGTTACCTGTCATTAAATTCCCTGTGTGTGAACATGCTATGCTATTCTGGTATTAATACTTATTAACTACATAACTCCAGTGCCCAGTTTTCTCAGAAAAAAATTTTTTTTCTTTGGCCTAGTTTTGGTTTTCCTAATGAGCATGAGTTTTCAGGTTCTTGCAATAGTCACAGCAAATATGGACTTAATGCTTTTGGTAATGCAGCCCATAGACTAGTGGTTTGAAATCACTTCTTCAATATTACCATTTAATCACAGTTCCTAAATATGTGAAACAATTTTTTTTAAAAAATTCCATATGTCAGAGTGTGAAGATTTCTCTAGAACTGTTTATCTTGTCATCTATAGATTGAACAAAAATGAGAGCCAAAGTAATGCCCACATGACTAATTTGTATACCATATTCTGTCTAAAAATAAAAAACATTGAATTTTTCAAGTGGCAACATTTATCAGACTTTGGTTTGTTGATTTCTGATATACATATGATAATAGGCTACTATATGCAAAGTTTTCAGCTGAAAAATAGAAACTTTTATTTTTTTTAAGATTTTATTTATTCATTTGACAGAAACACAGCGAGAGAGGGAACACAAGCAGAGAGAGTAGGAGAGGGAGAAGCAGGCTCCCCGCTGAGCAGGGAGCCCGATGTGGGGCTCGATCCCAGGACCCTGGGATCACGACCTGAGCCGAAGGCAGATGCTTAACGACTGAGCCACCCAGGCACCCCAATAGAAACTTTTTTAAAAATAAAAAATTCAAATTGTTTTTCTAGTATTAACCATTTGGTAAGATTCCACTACTATACTTTGAATATTCCCCATAATCATCCAGTTAATATATCACTTTAACACAGTTACTGTTATTTACTATGTGCAAGGCATTTTTTTTTAGGTTTTGTAGTATACACAGAATATGTGAAGCATATGTGATAAAGCCTGATGTATACAGAAAACACACGTACAATCATAGAGGTAGACAAGATGCTTATAAGAGCTCAGGGGAAGTAGGGTTCAATTCTGATTGGAAAGAAAAAGTTTGGGAAGCTCCTGAGACGAGTTTTGAAGGATGGGATTAGAGACATAAGGGCAGGAAGGGAGTAGTCAGCAAAGGTACAGAAGCAAGGAAGTACAAGAAACGATGTGGAGTATGTGCTTAGTCTTTCATTCAGTACACATTCAGTGTCAGGCACTACTGAGCACTGCTCAGGGGGAGAGAAAGGGTTCCTGCCCTTACGCTCCAGTGTTTTCGCAAATAATGACTAAAATGTACTTGAAAGAGTAAGAATAAGGTGGAAATAAAAATGAAGTAGGAGAAAAGATTGTTAAGGAGTATGATGCTAAACAAGCAGGCACTTCAACTTTCTGGCATTTAGTATCATGTAATATAGAAAAGTACTAGTTATGATAGGATTGAGTTTCATATTTCTGCGTTTTGTTCTCAAGGTAATGGAAGGCCATTGAGGTCTTTGAACCAAGGAATGGCGTGATCATCTTAACTGCCTTCAGAAGAATAAAATTAAGTGGGGAAGGAACAGAAAGAAAAACTATTTTGGAAGCCTGGAAATAAAAGCCTGAGGGTCACAAGTAGAAGAGCTAAAAGGCATTGACATGACAGTAAGTTGAGAAGGGAGTAGGAAAAAAGTATAATTAATTAGCATCTGTTCTTTGGGGAATTTAAAAAGTGAAGAAATAGGATGATGAAATTTATATCTGAAGTTTACCTCTCTCTCCTTAGGATAAATTTTATTATTTTTTAAGATTTTATTTATTTATTTATTTGACAGAGAGAGACACAGCAAGAGAGGGAACACAAGCAAGGGGAGCGGGAGAGGGAGAAGCAGGCTTCCCACGGGGCAGGGAGCCCGGTGTGGGGCTCGATCCCAGGACCTGGGATCATGACCCGAGCCGAAGGCAGATGCTTAGCGACTCAGCCACCCAGGCGCCCCCGAGGATAAATTTTAAGAGCCAACTGCTTACTACACACTTCTACCTAGTGTCTTGAACTTAACACGGACCGCCATGATATCCTCCTGAATTCCCTATCCTGGTGAATTGCGCTGCTAAACACCTTGCCATACAGATGAAATCACTGGTAGCCATCCTGCACTCTCCACTTTCCCCAGTTTTCTAAATCCACTTGCTCATTACGTTTTAGAAATGAGTTACAAAAGTAACACTATATAATTTTTAAAAGTCTGACAATAACGTGTTGAGAAGGAACATGGTAGATCAGTAATTGTATTACATCAATAATTATATTACATGTAAATGGACTATAAGACAAAAATTCTTGCATTTCTTAAAGTTTAGATGGTACTTACTCGAGCAAGACACACTGTAACAGCAGGGATCCAGGGAATTTGAAATTAAAGTATGGAAAAACTCCACTAAAACACACCAAAAGAAAGCTGTTAATAGCTGTACTGATATTAGACAAGAAGTAGACTTTAAAGCCAAAGGCTTACTAGAGATGAAAGGGGACACTTCTATTGATAAAAGAGTCAATTTACCAAGAAAATATCTCCTGAAGTGTATACATCTAATAATTTTGCTTCAAAGTATATAGAGCTGAAACTGACAAAACTAAAATGAGAAAGATAAATCTACAATCCTAGTGGAAGACTTTCACACAGCTCTCTCAGTAAACAAGCAGGAAAAAAAATGTTTAAGAATATAGTACATGTGGACTTACAGGATATATGTTAACAAAATGACCTAATTGACATATAGGTAACAGTACAACCAACACTGGCACAAAACTCCTTTTGGGTGTACAAAGAGCATTTACCAAAGCTGACTGTGTGCTGGTTTGTAAAGCAAGCCTCAACAAATTTCATCAGATTGAAATAATTTAGCGTAGTGCTGTCCAACAGAACTTAGTATGTTCTTGTCAGTATTGTTCAATACAGTAATCACACAGCTAATACAGTAGTCACTAGCCACATGTGGCTACTGAGCCCTTAAAATGTGGCTAATGTGACTGATGAACAATATTTTATTTAAATAGCCACATCTGGTTAGTGGCTACCACATTGGACAGCAAGATTTAGCATGTTTTCAGACAACCGTAAAATTAGCTAGAAATCAGTAACACACACACACTAGAAAAAAAAATCCCAAATGTTTAGAAATTAAAACAATTTAAATCACCTGTAGGTAAAAGAAGCAAGCATGGTGGAAATTTGAAAGGTATTTTTGTTTGGATAACAGTGAAAATTATGGGAACGAACTAAAGCCCTGTTTAAAGAGAAACTTATAGCATTCAGTGCATAGATTAGGAAAGAAAGGGCTACAATTCACTGATTTAAATACCCACTGCAAGAAGTTAGAAAAAGAATAGTAAGTAAATGTAAAGAAAGAATGTAGAGAGAGGTTCATACAGCGGTGTTCTGGGTTCCTTTTGTAGCTTAAAGGGCAATTTTCACAATGTCCAGAATATTTGATGTCCTGCAAATGAAGGAAGAGGGTGTTGTCAAATTCCTTGCAGCAGGAACCCACGCAGGTGGTACCAAGTACATCTACAAAAGGAAAAGTGATGGCATCTTTATCATAAATTTGGAGAGAACCTAGAAGCCTCTGTTGGCAGCTCATGCCATTGTTGCTGTTGAAACCCAACTGATGTCAGTATCATGACCTCCAGGAATACTGGCCAGTGAGTTGTGCCGTACTTTGCTGCTGACACGGGAGTCACCCCTTATTGCTGGCCACTTCACTCCCGGAGACTTCACTAACCAGATCCAGGCAGCCTTCCAGGAGCCGAGACTTCTGGCAGTTACTGATGCCGGGGCTGATCACCAGCCTCTTACAGAGGTGTCTCGTGTTGACCTGCCTACCACAGCGATGGTAGAGCAACTCACCTGCTGTGTGTGGCCACAGCCATAGCGTGCAGCAAGGGAGCTCACTCACTGGGTCTGATGTGGTGGATGCTGGCCCAAGGAGGTCTGCACATGAGTGGCACCATGTCCCATGAACAGCTAGAGGAGGTCATGCCTGATCTCTGCTTCTACAGAGATCCTGAAGAGATGGCCGGAGAAGAGCAGGCCACTGCTGAAAAGGCTGTGACCAAGGAGGAATTTCGGGGTGAATGGACGGCTCCAGCTCCTGAGT